TTAAGGGTTAGTTTCCCCAGGGTCGTGTCCCCCGCGAAGAAATAGACACCGAACCCTGGACACGTACCGCCATCTATGAGCGACGGCGGCAAGCAACGTTTCTGGTTGCCGCCGTCGCTCATAGATGGCGGCAGCCTTTCCACTCTGGCTTGCCGACTTGCGGCCGGCCATTACTTCCCATGGTACAGCTCCGCTGGTCTTCCTTCTTCACCAGAGTGGAAAGGCTGAAAGTTTTAATACTTCTTCTAACATTCATTTTTGTGTTTAGATGCTCATCTAGGTGTTTTTGTTTTTTTTTCTCGTTTATAATTACTATTGCTTTTCCGGCCCTCGAGTCGCTTACGCCCTGAATATCCATGGAGACGGAAGATCCAACCAGATCTGAATGTCCACTGGGACTGGATATCCAATGCGGCAAGAGTGGAGACGTAAAATGCTACTGTATGCTGTGCAGTGTGGCAAGTCAGAACCCGAAGGAACAGTGTTGGAACAGTGTTCGCGGTCCAGCAGATATGTTTCTCGTGAGACTTTGCTATCTGTGAATGAACGGGCGGTAAGAGAAAACGTCACTGAAATAAATAAGTGTACCTGAGAATATTCTCGCAACTTCGTGACGGATTCCATTTGTGTCATACCGATATCTAACTCCCCGATTCCTTTTCCACATCCCAACATCTGACCTCGAATCACAATAACGGATGCAAATGTATCAATAAGGACGTTTAATCTCCCTCTCTCTCTCTTTCATTAGCAAAATAGTGAATAATGATAATAATAATAATAGTCTTTATTAATCAAAATCAATTAATAGTACAAAATGTCAGGTCTGCCGAAGCCGGTTAGGGCTTATGTGGCTTATGTGTAGCTTGCAGTGGAAGCGCATATTCCACAACGAAAAATACAACACAAATCAGCGACTGGTACTTAAAATTCAGAATGTATATTTCTATCATTAAACAGTCTCTTGACATTCTTTTTTAAGGTGATGATTCGATCTGGAAAGAAACATAAAGTCAGGTAACGCATTGAATATTCTGGGAACATAAAATGCCCTATGCTTTCCCCATAGCGACTATATATATGTACGTGGGACTTCAAAGCGAGAATTACACCTTGTTATACGTCGTGCAATTCTTTGAATGATAAAGTCCGTGTTCCAAAAGAAGTGCTGAACGACAGTTTGTAAAAGAGGTGAATGAAAACAAGGTAACTGAGGCGAGGCGAAGATATTGTCACTTGAACATAGCAATAAATTGTGACACACTTTTCAACATTCCCTTCAAAATACCATCGATTCTATCGTGGGATTGCAGGGAACAATTAAAAAAAGAGAGTAGTGCCGTATCTGAGCACACGCCAGAGAATGCAATATCAACTTTCTCACTGCAAACGGAAGAAACATTTTTAAATTGCAAAGTTGGCATGAAACACTTCGGAGGCGCTTCGCAACAAAAGCCATATGCGTATTCCATGACAAATCGGAAGAATTAACATACTGAACAGAAGTGCAGCAACAAGAAACAATAGTATATATCATGCGACGAGAAGACTTCGAGGCAATCTTCTAAACTGAGCTATTAGCACGCGTCTGGATAAGTTTTGTTGCCAATGTGACACATGACTAGAAAGTTCACACAAGTATTTTTTTTTTAATATTTAACCTGTCTTTATTGAAAGAGCTCTCTCTAATTAAATATCCATTGACTTAGAAAAGAATGGGTTGGGAAATGGGGTGGAGTTGAGAGCATTTGGAAGTCTGAGCTTATAATCCGTATCACCGGGAAGGTCAGCTGCAATTCACGCGGCACTGGAATGGCCGTGATGGCACTTAGTGCTCTCTGCGGCTCATGGTAAGGTGAAACAAAGTATACAGTATAGACGCTTTGCAGCAGCTGTGCATGGACGCCGCCATAACTGACCTTCAGTTTTTGTTTCCTCTTTTTTCGTTTATTTCACTTCATCATTACCACAGCAGGACAGGTTATTGCCATATTAGATTCAACTGTGTCCTTTTCTAAAGCATCGGCCTTTGCAGAGGATTGTCAACTACCGTTTCAGTTGCTCGGCATCTCGGTAAGACAAAAGAAGGTCAGTATAACGGCGGCTGTAATTTGGCGCGTGTGCAAAGCGTCTATACTGTATCTTGCAGGGTATAAGTCTCATTTTTTTCTTCTTCAAAATTTTGGTCGGTCGATTTTATACAGTTATTGGCACGTTATTGCTATAAAGTACCAGTGTTACAGTTGCAGTTACACGGGATAAAAAAGTAACCCTGTTACAGTTAAAGTTACAGAAAGGAAAGAATAACCTGTAACCGTTACAGCTGATTTCAAAATTAACACTGCCACACTGTCATTATCTTACAAAACGGATCAGAAAGCATTCAAAGGGAACTTCAGTTAATATTCTTCAAAGTAGTATAGATTTTTGGGAAAAGTGCAGAGAGTTTTAGTAGACCGTTCCGATGACTTCGATAACGATACCCGATACTCCGCCACCGCCCTTGCGCATGCATCGTAGCGTTATCGCGAATACACCGTATAGTTATCAGGCGTATCAAAACAATCTCCTAAAACTCTCTCTTTCTAATGTGTTGTTCACGGTCAGTGGCGCCTTTACCGAACAGCAAGTGTATTCACAACAGTCTTGATGTAGATATGCCAAGTATGGGATTTTTTTTTATCGTACGAATATAACTATATTATTTTCCACACCAATACATCTTTCTTGCATTTTTTTTAAAATGTTTGACGGCTTACGCATGTCTCGACATGTCTCGCCCTCCCCAGTGGGTCGGCTGTTTGGGGTTGTTGGAGGATTTCGAAGGTGTTTCGATGCCTCCTCTCCCAGACTTTCGTGCCTTTGCTGAGGGACCTTGGCTCGGCTCTGTTGAGACGGCGGACAGGAGCACTAGCGAAACTACGAAGGTGTGAAGTTTTTTTCATGAATGGGTTTGGCGTGGCGCCAGGTAGGCTCCGGCCGGTTGCACTGGCGAAGTTACGAAGGTTTCTTTTCGTGTCCGTTGCCAATCTAATCCGTACTAATGAGCGTGTGGATCCCCCCCTATCCAGTCAACGTTTGGCGCAGATCTTCTTCGGTTCAGATGGTGAAAACAGAACGATAATATCTCCCAAAGATATATATATATATATATATATATATATATATATATATATATATATATATATATATATATATATATATATTAAAACTTGGGTTTGGGCTAGTTGGTCCATTACTGAATAAAAGGTTAAAAAGCGCGAACAAACGAGGACAATAAAGAAACACGGACGACAGGACAGGCGCTTCAGAAGAAATATGTTGCAGCGCCTGTCCTGTCGTTCGTGTTTCTTTATTGTCCTCGTTTGTTCGCGCTTTTTAACCTTTTATTCAATATATATATATATATATATATATATATATATATATATATATATATATATATATATATATATATATATATATATATATATATATATATATATAAAAGAAGCAAATGTAAAGTTTATCGGTCTTGCTTTACAAACCCTCTTTTTTTCCCCCTGACATTTAGGGCTTTTTTCCAAGCGGTAAAGAAACTATACAACAGGGAAAGATATGGGAGGTGGATGAAGTATAGGAAAATATAGCTTGTGGTGTTATCAATGGAAGTAAAAAAAAATGAAAGCCGTTTACAACTCCCTGTAACGCCGAATTAAAGCGCAGCTCTTGAGGAGGAAAAGGGAAGGGTACTGAGGGGAGGGTATACCCCTCCTCCCTCCGTGACCCCCCCAGGTCACGTGACCTATGGGGGGGGGGGGGGTCACGTGACCTTACGGTTATGCCGACGGCGTCGCTGCGGGCAGGCTTGCTGCGAGCTAGAAGTTTGTGGATCCGGTGTGTCTAACCCAAAACAAAACTTCAACACAGGAGGCCTCAAGTGGAATACAACAAATCGACCTACTCTAGCGACATAGTGAGTATATATGTACCTGGTGCTTGAATAAAATTCAGAAATTTTAATTTAGAAAATGGCTGATAACGGAGTCTGCGAATGAATGGCAAACATTACTGGGAACGCGCTCCATTTTCTAGCTTAATTTTTTGAAAATCGCTCATAACTTTTTAATTGGATAACGACAGGCTCTCAAACTTACATCTGCTCCGGATTACTAGTTCTACATCTGGGCAAAGGCAAAATGTTTGGCCATTATATTTTTTTTCTTCTTTTTGCGTTGAAAGAAACGCTTTTTTCCCCATACATCCGTCATATTTCTTTAAATACAATACAATCTTCAGGACGCAATGACACACTGTCTTAGATAAATTAGTCAAACCGGTCATTTTACAAAATACGAAGCGTATTTTGTTCTATATTATTATCCGATACCCCGCAGAAAGTTTAATGTCCCATATCCTGCGAACCGAAATAACATTACTGAAAAAAGTGGATCCCTGTTTTGAAACCGCCCGTTTTTCGTTCTTTGTTGCGGTGGAATGGCAAGTTTACTCCAATCAGTCAACCATTGTCACTACGCTAAATATAGAAGAAAAAAAAATCAGAATTATGGCCATAAGTTTTATTTTTGGCGTTTTAGCTTTAATGGTATGTCGCAACGGCCTCTTGAATTTTAGATTTCCCGACACTTGGACGTTGCCGACGCAAAATGGCAGCACGCTGACACCGAAGCCTCCGCCCCCGACCAAAAACAACCAAACCAAAAATCAATTCCAGCGGTTCTAACCTCTCTAACCCCAGGCACGCCGCGCACCTATGCCGCCGATTATCCGGCGCTGCGCCGCCGACGCAGCCGACGCCGACCGAAAACGACCGCCACGCCGCTAACGTTGGCCGAGACAGCCGAGATCTCTCTCGATCGCATCGCGCACAGCGTATTCGTCCTGGTTTCGCTCCGCAGCCACCAGAGAGCAGCACCAGTTCCATTCGCACCTCTTCTTATCGTACCTCTAGCGGCTGCTCCGAAGTAGTGAAAGCAAATAGAGAAATAATAAACATCTTCTGTCATATTCAACACCTTCGATCGTTCGTCCGTCCGTCTCGGCCCCCCGGAAAAGAACCCGATGGGTGACGACGCATGTCGCAGCTTCAAGACAGTTTTGTCTCTTCAGCGAGAAGGGAACAACGACAACGATGTGCACTACAAGGTAGGTGCGCTTCTCCACTGAACGCCGCCGGTGATCTGAAGCTACGGTGCTCGCTTGTTCTCGAGCTCGAAAACGCCCCAGTCACGCGAGCGGCGAGCATGCAAAACAGGAGGGATCGCAGCGACGATTTGAATCGCTGCATGACTGCACGTAGCGCGCATCACCTTCGTTGCACTCCTTCGTGCGTTATTGGCTCATGACGGGTACGAAGTTCGCGCGTAGATGCGGGGGGAAACTTCCACCAGCCGACGAAGCTCAGAGGTCGGTTGTTGATTTTGGGATCGTCTTAAGTGTTCACTGGCTTTGGAAAACACCATTGACGTCGCAATTGACGGCTTTTCGTTATCGATCCAACGCAGTGCGTTGGTAGCAGAACCGGTTGAGAAACGACACCATGTCGGCTGCTTCAAGTACGTTGCATTTGCGGGTACGGTTCTTGACCGCCGGCTATTGAAGCTGGGATCACTTGGGGTACCGAAGTACGCTGGGTTAATGCGTGTATCTCTTTGCCGGCATGTAAGTGTATTCGGGACGGTTGAAAAACAAGTGTGTACACCGACGACTGTTGGCTGTGTTGTAACTCGATCCTAGCGTATGTCAAGCGGAAAGGAGACAAGGTTGAGTCGCCTCCACGTTCAAACATTTCATTCTAATTACTACCACCATTGTAGAGTCTGCATTCCGACTGTACACACAGTGCAAACATACGGTTGGTAAAGTTTTGGCGCGATAAATAAATCCGAAATAACCTTCTCGGTTGATAAGCGGGAAAATTGCGTCGTCTGCTGCGGCTGACCGGAGCCGCTGTCTGCTTTGAACTTTTAGCAGACGGCTTTCAGGTATAACGAAGTAATTGGAGGTTATAGAGCGCTTTCTATATTTTTTATTGTTGTCTTTTTTATCTGTTTACATACTCTTGTGTGTGCGCAAGGAAAGCAAATAGATCTGCTGAACAGGTTTATGTCTTATTTGCACACATTACCATAACTGAAGTGCCTTTAATGGAGCTATAAGACAGTTTGGCTAACTAGTACTAAATTTTACCTTTGATAGACTATAAAATATATGCTGCATTTGATGGTTCTGCACATTCATTTATGCATTAAAATAGAGAAAAGCTTGATTTTTGTTTACACTTCCAGCTCTCACTGAAATAGGTCTGTCAGTTCCATATGTCCTGCAGCTGCACCTGTCCTGATGGGATTTGTGTCCATCAGTTTTCTTCGGTACCATTTGCCAACAGTGACACTTGTTAAGGCAGCCCTGTCGAGCCGCACCTGCATACGCATCATTTGCCCTTCTCTGAAAGACCGGAAAACTCTCCGAGAAACCCAGTCAAATGTAAACTTGCCGTTAATTGAAGGACATTTAATTGACAATTTTTTGATCGTGTAATCTTGTTGCTAATTTCATAGACAAGTTATGGACAGCATACAAAGAAGCATACAATCAAGACGTGTGTAAATGGAGCATAAAACATAACTTCATTTATCATATATAAATTTTTACAACAATAATGAGCCGCCTGATAAAGCATATGTCGAGCAGGTTTTTTCAAACACTTGTGAATTGTCTCATGATTGGTTAAAGCCCGACCTACAAAAAGTTTTTTCACGAGGCATGAAAATCCTTCTCACCCCCATCCCATTTTTCCTCTCCCACTGCTATCATGAGGGGGGGGGAGAGGGGGGGGTTTCTGCATCTTGGGGCTTGATAAGCTGGGATAAGCAACCATCTTATCCAACCCCAAGTTGGAGCAACAAAAAAAGTCCCCCGCCCCCTCCCCTACCCGAATTTCATGATAGCAGTGGGAGAAGGAAAAAGTGGGAGGGTGGTGGGAAGGATTTTGCTACCCTGCGGAAAATGCTTTATTTGCCAATGAGATTTTTCTCACATAGAAATGTTGCTACAGAACCCTCGATTAGTGACAATATTACTGTAAAAAAAAAATGTATATATATATATATATATATATTCAAGTATTTGAAATACGTATTTCAAATACTTTGTGTATTTTGCATTTGTATTTAATTACAAATTGGGTAATGTATTTGACATGTGTATTTAAATACTAAAACTAATTTGTACAAAAAAATACAAATACAATTGTAATTAAATACATTTTTGGGGGCGAAAATACATCCCTCAAATTTATTGTCACGACTCATTTAGCTCATCCTAAGACATGTCCAGAGCAGGAAGAAAACTACGTTCTGCACCGAACGCGGTGTCTCTCAATCAAGCACAAGCGTTTAGTGACTTTGTGATTACGGTGCTAGTCCAGGGCAAGAATAGTGACGAAATCGACGTTCACGGGCAGACTGGCTAAATAAGGGCCTGTGACAACTTGTGATGCTTTCCAGCCCTGATTTCCATCCATATTTTTGCCTGGAACATTCTAAATGTGCGGGTCGTCCACATTTTCGTAACTGGTGCGAGTTGCAACAATAAAAAATTCTCTGGCTAGTGCTGCGCGTCTTGGTCGTCTCAGTTCTTTGTTGGTCTATACCAAAATGTAATCGACAAAAAAAGCTGCTTGAAGCTCTGTAGTTTTTTCACCTATTACATCCAAGCTGATTAAATTTTTTTAATTATATTTCTATTACGTTACTAGAGCCTTGCACACTAACTTTCGAGTGTGCGATGCAAAATTAAAATGAGATACCCAGAAACCCGTTGCAGGTGCCCTGAAGTCGCTGATGCAAATTTTGAGGAATGCATTTGGAAAAGTATTTGGAGGAGACTAAATACATTTGTTTGTATTTGCATCTTGTACTTAAATGCTTTTTTGGAAATGTAATTAGATTTGTAATTAAATACATTTTTGACGAAGTATTTTGTATTTCAATACATATTTGCATGTATTTTGCCCGTCTCTGTATAAATATACATATATATATATATATATATATCTGTTGAGTAACTCAGAATACAGAGTGTGTCTTATGACTTTCAAAGCATCCACCTTTTTTTTTCTGTAAGCTTGAAAATTTTCAATGGATACTGTGATTTATTTTATTGTACAGGAAGTTCCAAGGGTCTAGTCGGTCATAAAATTCATATAATTAAGCCAATGAGTATGGTGCAACAGAGCTTTGCACAGATGTGTTGATTTATTTTATTATACGGAAAGTTCCAGGGGTCAGTCGGTCAGAAAATTCATATAATTAAGCCAATGAGTGTGGTGCAACAAAGCTTTGCACAGATGTGTTGATTTATTTTATTATACGGAAAGTTCCAGGGGTCAGTCGGTCAGAAAATTCATATAATTAAGCCAATGAGTATGGTGCAACAGAGCTTTGCACAGATGTGTTGATTTATTTTATTATACGGAAAGTTCCAGGGGTCAGTCGGTCAGAAAATTCATATAATTAAGCCAATGAGTGTGGTGCAACAAAGCTTTGCACAGATGTGATGATTTATTTTATTATACAGAAAGTTCCAGGGGTCAGTCGGTCAGAAAATTCATATAATTAAGCCAATGAGTATGGTGCAACAAAGCTTTGCACAGATGTGTTGATTTATTTTATTATACAGAAAGTTCCAGGGGTCAGTCGGGTCAGAAAATTCATATAATTAAGCCAATGAGTATGGTGCCAGAAAGCTTTGCACAGATGTGTTGATTTATTTTATTATACAGGAAGTTCCAGGTGTCAGTCGGTCAGAAAATTCATATAATTAAGCCAATGAGTATGGTGCAACAAAGCTTTGCACAGATGTGTTGATTTATTTTATTATACAGAAAGTTCCAGGGGTCAGTCGGGTCAGAAAATTCATATAATTAAGCCAATGAGTATGGTGCCAGAAAGCTTTGCACAGATGTGTTGATTTATTTTATTATACAGGAAGTTCCAGGTGTCAGTCGGTCAGAAAATTCATATAATTAAGCCAATGAGTATGGTGCAACAAAGCTTTGCACAGATGTGTTGATTTATTTCATTATACAGAAAGTTCCAGGAGTCTAGTTGGTCATAAAATTCATATAATTAATCCAACGAGTATGGTGCAACAAAGCTTTGCACAAATGTGTCTTTACATAGTGCATTTGTCAAGCTCATATTTTTTTGTTTTTGTAGGTTTCTAGAAAAAACACAAGAAAAGGAAAAAACTTGTTATTTCCTATGCGTGGAAAAAAACAAAAACAGAAGCGATCCGTCGGGCTGACGCTGCTACTCATATATGGCACTGCACGGTATGAAACCTCGAAAGCTTCTTGGAAATGAACTCCTAAGGCAAGTTCAGCAGATATGTGGTATCATATATGCGAGTAAGAGCGTCAACCAGATAATTCGTTTCCTTTTCTTCCCATTGCATGAATATGTAAAGTATTCCTTCTCTTGCATTTTTTTTCCAAGAAACTGCACTTATGAAGTTTTAGTATGATAAATGGACCCCCTAAAGACACCTTTGCGAAAAGTTCCACCGCACTCCGGTCATTGGCTTATTTATACGGCTTTCTATTACAACTGAATGGCACTCTAGAACTCCTTGTACTGTCGATTTCGTGAACCATACACATTAGGTTTTTGAAGTTGTATTTTTTCAACAAGACTGACTAAATATTTGTATTTATGGCTTCATTACATGTGGTCATGTGAATCAAGAATTAAGGATACCTAAATAAAAACATTAGCATGAAATACCGCGCAAGCGCCCACTTCGTTCAAGTGCCCACTTGGGAATTCTACAAACTTAGGAATTCTGTAAATTACACGTTAACCCATTCGCTCCCGCTTGCGTCGCGCACTGCCGGGCCGTCCGTACCGCACATTTCCCCCTAAAACGGCCACACTAGGCATAACTGTTTTGCTTGTATAATAAGGTTTTACAGTAAAACTCAGTGCAGAAAACATGTTTATTTACATGCTTAAGATGTTCGTTGAAGTCTTTCGATCAATAGGCCCTCACAGATTCTTCCTTGGATGAAAGATCTTGAAGCACTCCATCCTCGGTCGCTTAGGCCTCGCACAACCAGTGCACTCTTGTCCTGATTCGGACTCAGAAGTGCTGTCGGAATCGCTCCCGTCGTCGACAGAAGGCTCCAAAAACTCACTATCCTGACCAGACGTCCCGTTATCATCGCTGTCGAAGAGGATATCTACGATTTCATCGTCAGATAGGCCACACCGCACACTGGACGCTGCCATCTTCTCCAAGCAGGCAGCGATCGAGTGGGAAAGACGACACACAAAAGAACAAGCTCAAACAAACACAGTGGACAGAACGACCCTCGCCATCTGTTGGCAATGTATCTAACTGCACTACCTCAAGTCTACATAGCGCGCCATCTATGAATGGCTCTTTAAAACAGAAATTCATGCAGACCGGCAAATCGCCGGCTTTGGCAGTATGGCCCCTGACAGCACACCTGGCGATTCGCTGGCTTTGGTAGCGAATGGGTTAAGCGCTTGATTTGACCGTACACACGCCCATGTCTAGAGGAACCCAGTTTTCATTACAAGTTGGGGGGGCACTTCTCAGGTATTTTACAGTACTTCCCTATGAATGTGTGTCAAGCTAAGTACAGAAATATCATTCTTGGCTGTGGGGTCATTTATTTTGATGAAACAATGAAGTGAGGCAGCATCAATCATCCTAATCTTCTTAGACAAAAAAAAAAAAAAAGAATTGTTTATTGTGTAGTTGCATTTGTGTAGAAACTTGTAAGGCACGCAGTGAGGCAAATTAAATTTGTGACCCACTAAGTTGAGATTACAATTTAAAGATATATCAGTCTGTGCATCCACTAAGGTATGTATACGGTGAAAGCAAGTGTGCCTCCTAAATTGTGACGCAGCTATCACCTGCTCGATATTTTGTGTTGTCTTGCTAAACATTTGTCTCTCTGTTTAGTCTGGAGCATGCTACTGTTTTGTGTGATTTCAATGTGCAGGCTAACGTTGACGAACTGAATATTTCAGGTGGATGGCACGCGATTTGGATCTGAGAGCACTCTCAAGTTGAACGTTGAGACGGCCTACGTCCTGACAGTATGTTTTCGGCCGCCGCAGACGTTGGAGTGAGCATGCATTCGTGATATTCTCTTATTTGTGCGTGCATAATGTTTGCAATAACAGTCAAGTGGAGGAGCAATGAGCATTAAATATTTAACTCCATATAGTGGTTAGCATGAGAGACTTAGCCTGGATTAAGAAAAAGATACATATAGGGCGGTCCCAAGTTCAGAAAAACAGGTACGTTTTGGTTAACTTTTTTTTTCTTTTCTAAAATCTTTTTTTTTTCTTCGGTAATGATCTCAGTGTTACCAGCTGAGTGTGCGGACCAGAAAAGGAGTTCTTCATGGTGCAACGATTTACTTAAAGTTCAGTTTGTTAAAGGACACATGAAATAACAGCAATCCTGGTGACTCTGGCTTGCTGCAATGTGGGCAAAGCTTGTTTGAAGCTCTGATAACCTTGGAAGGATAAGCGGTAACTGAGGCAGAGATTTAAAGGGATACTACAACGAAATTTCGGTGCTCATTTTTTGGTCTATATGTGTTCAAAGGAGCAGCATCACATCGAACATACCAATATCTTGTTAAAAAAAGTCACGAAAAGGAATTTTAAAACGAATTAAACGATTAGCAAAGAGCACCTGGTGGATGTCGCTAACACCTCGCTTGTAATGCCTGTCTGGGAACCTTGACAGCTAGTGACGGAGGTTGTCTCGTCTCCGGCCACGACGAAAGAAGAGGGGGAGGAGAAACTCCCCTCTTCCCGAGAATGCCTTTTGTGTGTCGCAGAAGTCGCTATTGTCCCCCTACAAGATTACAGAAGATTAACCCGTCACTCAAAATTCGTACAAAAGCAGCCGCTTCGGTGGCTGGAACGACTAGGCCATCCTCTCGACGTCAGCCTCGCCGTAGCTTTGCTCTTCCTGAGACGACCTACGTCACGATTGCGTTGGATGTCACGTGGTCTCCGCTGGGCCTTCTCCGAGCGCTTGCCAGAGTGGGCCGTTTATAACGAAAAATACAGCCACCCGGCTCAAAATACAAACGTGTGATTGTCATTTACGGATATTGTGGATCATATTCAACCTATTTTTTAACACGACGGGAATATTTCAAATTTCGTTGAAGTATCCCTTTAGGGGCAGAGGAATGGCAGGGGAGGTCAGCTTTAACCACATATAGGTTATGTGAGTGAGAAGTAAGAGAAGAATGTTCATTTGACTATAGTTTGCAGTGTTTTTCTTCTGGGTAGGCCAGGGCAGGAGTGTTAAGGTGTGAAGAAGCAAACCTTTCGTACTGTAATATCCTGAAAGATGGGCGACTCTTGAGGAGGCTAAATAAGGTGGAGTATTGTCGGGGGGGGAGAGGGGAGGGGAAGGAAGGGGGCTTACCCGCGGTGTACTTAAAAAAATTAAACAAGGTAAGAAAATGTACTCGAAACAATTAAAAAAAAAAAAAAAATCATCATTCAACAATTTTGTGGCTTCAGAGTTGAACTTGCCACAATCCTTAGTACTTAGTACCTTTGATATTTATATTTGATATTTTTACGGAATGACGCATTTACTTAAACATTTGATTCCCCAGGATGTGTTGTGGCATGTATTCCTTGACTATGCCTCTGGCAGCGATGCTGTTTTATTTTTGTTTCTATAAGACAAATGCTACCACAGTGAATGCCTCTTGGCTGTTGACAGGCACAAAATAAACTCTCTTCTTTTATATATGTAACCCTGTGTTTTTTTTTTTTCAACCTTTGAATTTGTTAGCTGTATATGCTTCTTTTTATGCAAGCCCTATAGGCACTTTTAAAGGTGTAATAAATAAATGAAATGGGTTGGCATTTTGACCACTGATGCCTACCTCAGCTTCCCTCGACACCATGAAAATCATATTCTTGCGTGCATAGTGGAGTTAGCCTTGGGCAAAGCTATCACACGCAGGAACTGGGTTTGAACCCTGCTCGACCTGGTTATTTCTTTGGGCTAGAAACTCCTCCAAGTTTCTAGCCCATTCTTGGCTGTCACCATTTGCTCTGACTCAAAACATTCCTGAATGTGTATCACATGCATAATGGTAGCGGTGATGAGCCACTTCGGAAAACTCATTCTTTTGTCGCCATCACAACTAATGTATGGTTATTTTTTGTTTTAATTTATCTTAATTTATAGCGTAAATTCACCTCGTTAAAAGTTTCTTTTCAGTTTTACATGCCTCTGCTGTTTCTAGTCGTGACAATTTTGTCTGAAAGCAAAAATAGAAAATCTTTTTATTCATTTGCCACCTAAGTTGTCATAGGAGTGGACTCTACTCTCGTCCGAATTCAAATGCTTGACCCAGTGCACAAATTGCCCGACTCCAATTCCAGTGGTGGGCTCTCTTTTGGTGCTCTTTAAGACGAGAAATATAAAACTGAAAACGGCCATCGTTCAGTTGGAGCCACCCCTCAGAATGTGCAAAAGTAACTTTTTTTTTTCTGTAGAAGGTAGAAGAGCAAGCAGTTGTTGTATCCTATATTGTGTTGCAACTGTCAGTAGTGCCAAGGCATGTTTCAAGCCATTTTTTGTTTTTCTTTTCCCACGTCTGACGATGGTTCTGCAGCCAGGTGGCCCTGATGGGTTCCCACTTCTCCCCCAAGGAGAAGTCTCGTGATCTCGGTTCCTCCACCTACTGCCTGACCTGGTCTAGCCTGGGGATGACTGTCACGAAGCACGGCAAGCGAGACAAAATTCCTCTTGTGCTTCAGGTGAGTGCAGACCAGGGTGACCTGAAGCACACCTGAAAAGAGAATTTTTAACTTGACGTCGATCTTGGCTCGAAGAAAGAACGACAGGACATGTGGAAATGTAAATACTTTCTGAGTACTCTCTGTTGCTGTTCACATCGCCGGATTGAAGCGGTGAAAATGCGTACTGCATCAGTAATGGTGGTAGTAGTGCATTTAATGTGTGAGTAGGGGAAGACTAAGCTGATCTGGAGTCTTCCAGCATGTCTGAGACAAGCAGGCTGAAGAATGATGGTACAAAAAGGTAGAACGTAGAAAGAATAGATTCTTTTCAAAACCCCATCAACCTCCACTGGAGGTCGCCATTTCTTGGGCATGAAGTGTGTGTTTTGATGTGAGTTCACGCCGGATGCTTGCGCAGTCCTCGCGTCCAACACATAGTCGGAGTAGGTGATCGGGAAGTGTAAGCGTTATGTCCCTGCTCCTTTACTCCTACCTCGACGCTCCAAGTTTCATACAGCAACTAGACTGAGCTTAGCGTCGTTCAATAGATAGCACGTCAATTGGTTTCCAGTCGAGATACACGAACAAACTATTTCTACAATGCCAACTGATGTTTTGGCTTTCCAATTGAAGTATCTTTATTTGGTGAACTAGGCATCCTAAAAGGTCAGCAGTCCGACTATCTTCTCATCTCGACAACTTTTCTGTCACTGTGCTACCGGCACGCTACCGTTCGATAGATGAATTCACTTTCAGGCAAGATGCACGAAACAACCCTTTTCCGGAACGCTAACTGCTGTGCATATCAAATCGTTTTTACCTGCTGGATTAAATACCATTCATTTGAAAAGGTGCGGCAGTTTGACTACTGTTTACGCAACGCCATGGAGCGAAAAGAAGTCACTCGCGCTCCGAGGAAAACTTGGTGCATGAAGAGCGTGGTCGAGTGTCAGTCTTTGGCGACGCTCCTGTCTCTTTCATGAACGGAGCACCAAACGCTCGCTCTTCGGAGCACGGACTTAAAGGGATGGTGAACCGAAATTTGGATTTCAGAAAAAACAATGCATGAGATGTAGGCGGGACGCTACAATCCCTACAACACTACTCGTAAGGCGATATCTCAAATGGACGGCCGTATTTTCGGAAAAAGAGGTCGAGATTGAAGCAGGCAGACGAGGCGCGTGACGTCAAGATACCTTGTTCCCTCCTCTCTTCGCTTCGCTCCCTCAAGGCGGCGAGGTGGAGAAGACACGAGGCCGTTCTCTCTCCTTCTCGGAGAAACATGACGTCAACATTTCTGCCAAATGTGCCTCCTTTTCTTGAAAAATACGGTCATCCGTTCGAGATATCGGTGTATGAGGAAGTTTTGGTGTTTGTAGCATCCTGTTGCACGCTTTGGCCGTTGTGTTTTGGGGAATCCAGATTTCGGTTCAGCATCCCTTTAATGCGACCAGTGGTGGACTCGGTTAAATTACTCAGCAGCTACTATATGACATGCACATTTGAAAAGGCTCACTAGAATGGTGTGTTCCTCCTTCTTGTCCGTGTAATATTCGCGCTGTTCTTCAAAATAAAAAGGCTCTTTTGGAGTAGAACGATGGAAGAATTCTGATGCCTCAACTTTGTTGGCACATGGTACCGTCTCTAGATATGTTTATGAGAGTGCTCTGTCCAAAAAAGGTTGAGAGTGCTACAAAAAGCTGCTGAATATTTACTTGTGCTGAAATCCACCATGGCACAACATTCTTAGGCAACACAGTTCAGTTGTTGACAGAATTTGAGCTCAGTATTTCGTGGAGTAAAACTGTAAATCCAGAACTGAGTTTTTAGGTGCCTACCTAAAAGATTTTGTCTTGCCATGGGTTAACATTAGGCTTTGTGCGTGCTTCTTTTCTTTTCTCATCTGAGAGCTCGCAGTCTGTTTGGCTCCCCATAGCGGTGGCAATAAAGACAGGCAAAAGCCATGGCACGGCTGCAAACAACCAATGCTAGGATGTCCGTTCCCTTGTGAAACAGAGATGTGACTTCCGAAATTCATAGCCTGTAAGCATACTTAATTCCGTGACAAAGTTTTTAATTTCATGTTAGGTTGGGACTTAGACAACATGGCTTGAAATATGCTAACTTTCTTAATGAGTTGAAATCTTGATGCTTACTGTTTCTGCTGTTGCGGCTTTTTGGCTGATGTTTTCAATTGCGTGAAGGAACAGCTGACACTTGACAAAATATGGGCCGTGAACTGCCTTGTGCTCCTCGAGATTGGGCGGTCCCTCTACGAATCAGCCTCCGAGTGTTTATTAGCTCCCTAGGGTACTGTCATTGGAGGGGTTAAGAACACGAATTGGGCACTAAAGGGCTAAAGAGCTGAAGTTGTTCTGAAAGGACATCGTCATAAAAAAAAAACAGTGCCAGTGGTGCAACCTCGTTTCCTCAAACAGAATTCGCACATTCCACCGACCCGTGCCTGCTGCCTCCTAATCCGCCCTTCGGTCGGTTTCGTCCTTTTTCTTAGATCCGCAATGTCGGAGAGCTGCTGGTCAACCTGCAGGCCAAGTTCTACCGGGAGAAAGACCGCGACCACTCGACGTGGGGCAAAGTGCTGCATCAGATCGACCTTGACTGCCAGGTCAGCACCGCATCCGGCAACCTCATCGTGGGCAAGGAGAGCTTCCGGTAATCCCCCCGGCATTTCCTGACGCTCCTGCGCCGGAACGCCAAGCGTTCTGGTGTGGGCCTTTTAGGTGTCAGGCCTTCTAGGTGCCGGGCCTTTTAGGTGCCGGGCCTTAGGCCTACAGGTCGTAATGGTTTGGTATGCTCCGGTGGTAGTGACCTGTTATGCAGCAGTCGTATTATAGTTGCTGGCAGGGTGAGAACGGCAGTGCGTGCACTCTCGAGACTCCCGACACGCCGAAACTTTATCGAAGGCAGGAAGCTTGCGCTGGAGGCGTGGCAACTGAAACTCTGTTTTGTCGTTCTCGTCCTGTCGGTGATCAGTGACTATAGCCTGTTCAACGCTGGCCGTATGTGTCGATCGTAACGGAGTGTTTTTTACAGACGTTGATTGATTATGCGCCAACTGTATCGACTCTTTTTCCAAGTCATTGTGTGTCGTGCACAAGAGACTCGTTTCATACCGGCCATGGGGACCCATCACGTGGCGGCCATCGTGGCTGTCTAGTACCTGCCACATCGAGTCATTACGTGCTAGTCACGATGGCCTGCCTCATACCTGTCATGGCAACTCATGTATTGATTGTAATGTTCCGTGCTGTACTGGCCACAAGGACGTAGGTATTTGTTACGCGGCAGGTTGCCTGTGCCATAAGCGCTCCTTCTGTTCCGGCCATAACGGTACGTCCGATACCGGTCATGAGGACCCGTTACGCGCTGGTCGTAATATCCTACTTGGAAGGTGCTGCTCAGAGATGGAGCCGCTTACGTTACCGCATTTGATCTTCCTTTACGGCTTGTCAAAAAATGGGGTGTTTTCTGCCATAGGTGATTGTCAATGTTCATCACCATTGCCATAGTGACCCCAGTGCCGCCACCTCTCATCAGTGACAACTGGTTTGTACGTATTTTTTTAATGACATAGTAAGTCAGCAAATTTATTGTTTGCCATTGCTCTCTCTAACTCACTTTTTTCATGCCATAAGTTTTGTGTTTAACCAAGCTATGGTTTTATTGGGGGAAGTTTCGCGAATAGGCTTGCTTATGTTGCACTGCGTTGAAAATGAAGAGGGTGGGGGGGGGAGTCAAGTCACTAGATTAGTCTGGCCACCCGGTGAGTTTTGATCAGTGCTGGCACAAAGTGTTCTCACCTGGTATTCGCACAGAATAATTGGTTTACATGGAGTGTTGAAACTTATTGCGGGACTATAGATCGCCCTCAACTCAAGCCTGCTATATTGCGCACGGTTTTCAAGCTTCGCAGTTGACAGAATTGCGCTTGGCGCCTTGTCTCGGTGTTTGCGGTCGGCTCTGTGACAAGCATTTCCGAAACGGCGACCAATTATGCATCCCACCTTTTGAATTAGTCGGAGAGTTTCCTGGTGCATCCTTGTAGCTCCTGCTTCTTGAATTTGCGTATTTGCCTTTTTCTTTGCCGTGAGCCACTTCATCTTTGGCACAGTCGTGGAAGCAGGTTTGTCGAGCGAAATGTCAAATTTGTCGCATGTATGTTCAGACAGCATGAGGTTAGTCTGCTGGTTTGCACATTTGTGTACAAGTTTGACTGACTGCATGGCAACTGGTTCTTGGTGCCTATAATGAGATAGAGTTCCTGTATAGGCTTCCTACAGGAGCCAAAGTTGTGCGTCGGTTTTCCACGCCGTCGCGCCACTATTCGCCATGATCGTTCATGTGAGGAGCGAAAAATCTTGCGCCGTGCAGGAAATCCACTGATACGGTCAATTTGCTGGTGTTGCACGTTCCCTAGTGTGTGTACCTCTGCTTTTGCCTTCTCCTTCTTTCCTGTTTTTCATGCACTTCGGCGCGCGTGGCTTGCGTGGTGCGCGTTGCGCAGCTTTTTGTCAAATTCAGCCACGTGACGAGCAAAGAATCCCTGGCCATGCAGGAAAGCCGGCGCTTTTTCCACTTGCCGAGGATGAACGCGCAACTCTGGCTCCTGTAGGGAGCCTGTACAGGAGCTCTACAATGAGATAACGGACGGCACCAGCGATCAGGTAGCCCTGGAACAATTCCGATCCACATACATGTACTAAATTTTATGCATCATTCTTTCACTGCGGGCTTGAAATAATTATGACAATGTTATGCGGAGAGCAAGTCGTCTGCTTCTTGGGGAGGAGTTGTGATGACGTCAGAACGATTGGCTTGAAAGGATAGGGGGTAGACCTCAATGCTACCCACTATTTTTTTTGATCAGCCAATAAGAGCTCGGCATTCTGACATCATCGCTACCCCTGTGCAAGAAGCAGACGCTTGTGCTCCGCATAAGCAAATACTGCAAAGCTTTTGGTCTAGTTATACATAGATCGCAAATGTTCCAGGCTTTCTTGATGGATGCTGCCAGCATGCCTGTTTTCTCTTGTTGCAAGCAGTCACAAGTGGTGCCAACACCAATTTTTTTTCCAAACTCAACTTGGTTCGTTGTTCTTGCTCACGTACAGACTTTTAAAGGGATACTGAACCAAAGAATTTAGTGCCCATAATAAGTGGCGCACGTTCTTTCCACCAGCCAGCAGCCGCCGGTGTGCGCGAGCACACGCAACAAACATGACGTCACGGACCTCCATTCGCGGTTGAGATGACAGTGAAATGCATGGGCTTCGGACTAAAGGAGAATAAAGACAGGCTTTTCATCTCTACAAGTGAAAATTACGTGCTTGTTAGACCAATTCATTGCTTACTTTTTACACCAGGCACCACTGTGTAGATGAAAAACTTGTCTTTATTCTCCTTTGGTCCGAAGCCCATACATTTCACTGTCATCTCAACCACGAATGGAGGTCTGTGACGTCATTTTTGTTGCCTGTGCTCGCGCACACCGGCGGCTGCTGGCTCGTGGAAAGAACGTGCGCCACTTATTATGGACACCAAATTCCTTGGTTCAGTATCCCTTTAAGGTTTGTTCCAACTCAGTTCTTTCATTTCCCACGAGGAACAGCCACTGATATCTGAATCTTAGCTGCCATTCGTTCCGCAGGTGCGACATCGATGAGAATCGTAGAGCTCGGATCACTGGCGTTTATTAATTTGAGCCCGCTACGAAGGGCTTTGGGTAACTTTTAAAAAAGGTTAACTCTGAATGCTCTGGATAGAAGGACGCCGTGGATCTGTGCCGGGACTTTCTTTGATGGACGGTTGTACAAAGTGGGCTTGCTGCATCTGCCAAACTATTCAAAACAATCTAAGTGTTAAGTGCAAGATTTGTGTGAGGTGCATTGAGCCTCTTCTAGGGTACTAGGGACAGGCAACCTTAAGTGTCTTGAAGGGGTCCCACCATCGCCCTTAAAGAATGTTTGAGGTAAGGAAACAGTAACATTATTAAATTCAAAGAGTAGTCAAATGACTCCTTTTTGAACTTTGACTAATATAATTGTGGTCATAGACGTTGGAAAGACCCCCAATATTGAGTTAAAAATAGCAGTCATGAGTGGACAGTGTACTTATTTATGGCATTACAATTTATAGACCAAGAGCCAGAGTAGCTCCAGTCCCCGAGAAACTTTCTGTATAAGAAAGAACTTTCAACAAAAACGCATGACGGTTTCTTCGAAAGGGTATTTTGCCTTCGGTTCTTCATTTATCCTGGATGCCATGGTTTTCAAGCAAACGGCTGTGACACATCCCATACGAAGTTGAGACTCGAGAGCTAAGGACATGCTAAAAATTGCAATAGGAATGACATGCCATTATGGCACACAAGGGAATAGAAGTGTAACGGCGGCAGAAGTGAGAAAGATGCGTGCGGACACAGAACATTTTTTGGGTGGGGTGGTGCAACCCATAAACCCGGGTTCGCCTGGCCCTGGTCTATAAGAGTCATTGGCACAATCCTGAGAAATCCTGAAAGGGACTCTGGAAGAATCCTAAAAGGTTTGCTGAAAATTCAAACGAAAGTGGGATATGTATCCCGGCAAAGTTTGGCATTCTTGCTGACTGACCGGTAGATTGTCCAACCCCTCAACTTCACATGCAAACAGAATGCTTGGGGTGAGACGTAAACACGTCGAGGGTAGCTTGACTTTCGAGACATCACTCTAGCTTATTTTTTTGCGTAACTCGCATCATACTTTAATGCATTCCAGCAGCTTTGTTTGAAACCAAGCTGGCATTGTTGAGGTAACCATTGCAGCAAACATTGTTCATGCAAAAAATACACTCTAACTGCACTGGGCACTTTGCACTGTTCACTGTCATGACCTATTTCTGGTCTTTGACTCAATCAATTTGCTTTGCTCTACAGGGTTTTGCCCTGGGAAGGGTATTTTTAGTAATTTTGTTAGCCGCTCACGGCACTCAACCTGTAATACTAGTTTGTTGATGGCAAAAAAAAAAAAAAAATGTCTGTCCGAAATGCTATGGCAGCTGTTTTACTAGAGAGGTTGGAAGATGTGTGTTTTTGTCACCTCTGACATCTCTCGTGGGTTGTTGCTGATTTTAATTTTAGATTTTTATGGAGGAATTTTTTTGCTAAAGTGCATTGTCTTGTCAAAACTGGCTGCAACGTTTCTGACCTTGCCACCTGTCATTTTGAGACTTTAAGGATTGAGCACTCATGAAACAAAGCAGACGGGCATAAGTGACACATACAGAGGAAGGCTGAGTGTAGTATATTAACTTTGACATTATTTGGGTGCTGTAAAAGGAAGAGTTATTTGCAAATCCAAGGGTTTTTGTTTTTTCCTGTGGCAGTGAGAATATTTGCACGATTTTATATAAAGTTGTTTTATTGTTCACCCACTCACTGTGACAGGTTGTCTCGGTCGTCAAGTTGTTCTTTTGTTGAATGATGTTTTTTTAATTGTCCGATGAAGTGTTTGCAGACTACTTTCTTGCAAGACACTGGACAACCATTGATCCTGTGTTTGACGCTAGCGGGCATTCATACCAGAAGATGGGGGTGCAATATTATGGGTTTGTTTACGACAGAGGTATTGTTAGAAACTTTGTTGTAGCTGGATTTCACTAATGGCTCAGCTTACGATCGTTGCATAATTGTATCCTGCTTGTTTTATTTGAGGTAAGCATAAATATGATTTCATCTATATTTCTATCATAGACACGCAAACGTATAAGTGTGACCTGCAGTTAGAAATCGAGGGAAATGTGTATACCTTCTCAAGCTATAGACCCTTGATAATTATACTGTACTGTGCCATTGATCTCCAGTGGAGCACAGACATATATTTGTGGCTCTGGCTGCATTGACATTCGATCCTTACTTGTTTTTGTTTCATTCTTTAGTTCTGGATTACCTGAACAAAGCAAAATATAAGAAAAATTATTGTCATTTGGGCCATATTTGTTGACATTTTTTGGTCAGTTTTGACCTTTCGAGCAAAATATTTTCTTGCAGGGACTGAGCATTTTAAATGCTCAGTTGCTGTAGGCTGCTTCACTTGCCATATCTCTCTGCTGGCCCTCGAGGCACACCAGCCGTTAAAGGCTGCTGCTAGTTCATTCTCTTGTGTTCAAGTGCTATCGCTCGCTAAGTTACTCGCCCCCTAGAGCTTAAATTAGGTCTTTAAATTAAAATAACTATAGGTGCCAGCCCTATGCAATGTCTTGTGACCGCACTGCATCCAACTTTTTTTTTTCTGGCACCATGACAGTAACTTTTGAAGAGCAAAGGTTTTTAGCATGTCTAGCAGCTGTCGTAGGTCACATTTTAATTCTATGTACATTTATATCCTGTGTGTCTAATAAAGAAAGTGGTGTTTATTTAAGGACTTCACGAAACCTGTTTAGATTCAATCGCCACCTGATTGGGATAACGTCCTAGACATAACCCAAGGGCTCTGACATCTTTTCCGGTTTTCTGGTGGTCATAACAGTAACTGCCACTCCTGACTAATTAGTTGGTCATGCAATATACTCATTATGTTTAGGGCTGTCTTTTGATGCCGAACTGCAATACTGCCTATGAGCAGTACTCTTGTGACAATGACAATTTCGTTTGTTGGGTCTGATGTGCTGTGTGCATCCAAACCTTGTGCTTGATCTTTGGAGAGGAGATTGAGGTGGAAATTGATATTCCTTCAATTGTACTAACAAGTTGTCTAGTCAGATGTGGTCTTTGTGGTGAATATGGCATATTTATAAAGTTCTGTACGTGCCATCATGCATAGTTTGTATATGTTTAATGGTTTTTCTGGTTCTTCTTCTCTCATGTTTGTGTGAAGTGTTTGGGTGCAACATATGCTCTATTTATTAGACCTATGTTTAACACCTTGTATGTGTCTCGAAGTACCCTTGCCTGACTGACCGGTGTTTAAAATTTTATGAATGAGTAGTCTCACACTATTGGCAGCTCTTCATATGCAGCATTCTATCTATTTCTGGGTACTACAAAAGATGCTTTAACCATATTGAAGCAAATCTGCAGGCCAGTTCAATTAGGAGGAGATTTTGGCTCCGTCTCAAAGTGCCGCATTTAGAAACTCGGTAACATGAAACCGCAAACAGAGTTACGAACACTTGCCTTTAGATTGCGTGTATGGCTGTGTCTTCCGCAGTTTTGACCGATTTTACATCCGAACCCTCACGCATGGAGGCAAAAAAACCTGCCTGTCTGTGATAGCAAAGACTGTCCTTACACCTCCCGAATCAGCCATTTACAGAGCAGGACAGGTAATAAAGGTCCTTCTAGGTCTTTTACTGTTCCTTCATCATATCATGTGTGACACAACATGTAACAGCCAAGGTTAAACTAGTCTGTGACACTATTTCACATGTGCCCGTACATCATAGAGTCCTTAGTATAATTCCATATTGTCATCTTTAGTAAACAAATTCATATTTGGGTCCATGTTGACTGGTCGAGATTTTTGCAGATGTCCTGTGTTTGTCACTTTCATTGACTGCTGGTACTAGTGAAGTCATGTGTTAAACATTTTGCAGTAGTACAGTAGGATATTTGCATAAGGGGTTTCTGCTGTTTTGTGCTATCATCTGTGCCATGACAGACCTGGTCTTTAGAAAAGTATGTGGGGTGCACATGGTGTAATTACTTTTTTTAATGGCTTAATTGGATGAGCTGCTGACTTTTGTTTTTTCCCCGACGTCTTGCGGTGAGACTCCAGCACTGGTGTAAATCCGAGTCCAACAGGCATTCTCAAATATCATGTGCTTTGGCCTAACTGCATTGAAATGCTTTTACACCCCCGGAAATTGTTTCTGGACTGCAGAACGTTAATAGGCATTAGGCAACCAGCAGATGGCAGTGTAATAAATAATAAATTACTGTTTCTTGTTGTTATTTTTTTACTGGAAACTTTGTTTGAACAATAATTGACCCCAGGTGGACTGTAATGTCAGCAAGGCCCTTTGTCTCCTGCAGACAGTCTCTCTTAGTATGGTTGATGCTTTCATGGCTGAGACATTTCTCTGAGTAAACAGTTAAAAACACAGTACAAGTGTCTGCTTTAGAAAGGGCATTCTTCTTTGGGCTACTGTGAATATATTTTTTTGTGCAAAACATGCACTCTCATCCACCTGAACCTATGCAGGAACTTCTAAAATGCAGTGCCCAGTTCAGCCTGTGCCATGATGTGATTCGCTGACATAGCAGTCTAAATTGGATTTGCCCTGCAACAAAGCTTCATGTGTCTGTTTATATGCAAGAGCAATACCAATGTTATTCAACCTTCAAGAAACTACTTGAAATCAGCATGACAATGAACCATGATCTTTGCTCTTTACAAAAACAGTGCTTTGTTGGCTCGCAGCTTTCGTGTTAAAGCTGTTGCTTGGAGTTTGAGGTGTGACTAAAAACCATGTCAATAGTTCTGTACCTTGAGGTACTATTCTGAGTGTTTCAAGATACTGGTTTTTGTTCAGTGGCACAGTTGTGCATTCTGTAGCCTTTGGTCGGTTGGTTGTTGATCGGACAGCAATAAGACTCATTGGTGTTTGTTGTGAGCTATGCAAAAGTCACCGTGATAAATTGTAAGTACCATTAAGTCTTGAATAAAAATGCCTCTCATTACAAGATGCACCTCCTGCCTCCATACCCTTTTTGCTGGATAGATGCTGAGAAATGGATAGCTAGGAGCAACAGCACAAAGTTAATGCGAAGTAACAGATAGGCAAAATATTAATCTTATATATTGTGAGTATGTAGCAGCATGACACTCTTCAGTTATTCCCAGACGTCTGGTTTGCTAATCTTAAAGGAATCGTGGACCCATTTGCAAATGTCACCTTGAATTTATAGTTGAGTGCTTTTTTCTGCATTGCTTGTAGGCTCTGCAGAGAAGAAAGAGTTTTTTAATGTAGGAAAGGATAGTTAGGGAGGGGGGGGGGGGAGTACCACACTATGATACTATTACTATTAATTTTAGAGACTGCACTGCTTGTAGTCGACATGATCATTGTCCTGAACTTAATTTCTAAAGTTATATGTGAACAGGCTTTTCGCTGCGAGCGCTGTCAACCAAGTGTCTTGTACAAACGGGGTGCCGATTCGGAGACACATTAAAACTTGACAAGAAATTTTACCACATTTTTTTATTATATCTGGTGCGGAACCGCTCTGAGTAACTTCACCAGCAATGCGGCTCAATGAAACCTGTTTTGCAAAACAGATAACTTCATATCTGGCAATTCCTTGAAACTTTGCCAAAGATAGTATTTTTTGGACTTGGTTGAAGTGAAGAAGTCAAGGTTTTGCATTCATTTGATGGCTTCCTTGACGAAAAGGCTTGGCTCTTCATCTGTTTCTGTAATTTGAACACTTAGTTTTCTCCAAGGAACAATATTCACATGGCATAAACTCAATTTTGTGTGGTAGGGGTACAAACTACACAGCATGATATTCTGGTTTCTTAAGTAGCTAGCAAACATGAATACCCGTTTGAGTACTTTGACATATATGATATTTTAAAACTCGATTATCAATGCTATTGATATGTGTTTGCGCCCTACACTCCTCTATAATTTATGTTAATGTTTGCCATGGCTATGGAAATTATATTAAGAAAATTGAGGTTTTATTCTTGCCACATTATCATGGTTTTGGATATGTATTTTTCAACATGACAGATGCATGCAAACTGTTCTATTATATACATACTTCTGAAAAAACAAGCATCTGCATGTAGTTACTATAATTTGCAACTGTTGCTGTGCTTTGGAGAGTAATGCAGACTTGTAAACATATGGTATGCCCTGACTGCGCAATGGACCCATCATAAGGAAACAATTTCTGGAACGGCATCACAGGAGGTCACTTGGCTGCAAAAATCAGCTACATGGGGAGATGGCATGCAGTTTGGTCAGATGAAAAGGTGTTTGTGGCATGTACCACACTAACTTTGAGAGGGTAATCTGAATTGGTTAAATGTATGTCAAATACTGCTATGAGCACCGACATAGTGGATTGTGTGTATCATACCATAGTTAAGCACTATAGTAAATTGCATTGGGCAGGCTGTTTCACATGTCCGTCATGTCTTTACATACTTCATCTGTTTGGCAGTCTGGGGTAATATTGTGAAAAGGTTAACCACGAACATATGATAAAAGAATAAGGTTGCTATGGCAATTTTGCCTTCTGCATAGGTGACCGAATTCCTACCCACTAAACTGACTAGTTTTTGCTACGTTGATATAAACTTTTTTTACAGCATTTTTTTTCACGTTTTACAATTTTTATAATTGAACAGCGAAAAGGTACCCGGACTAGTGGGATACTGACATATTGTCTATTGGCACACACGTCGTCTAGCTATGGATGGATATTACAAGCTGAGATTCAGAGTCTACCTTGAGTCTCATTGCCTCTTTCTTTCTTTTCCCCGTATATTTGCGTCAGCAGAGGCTTTGATAGTTGTGCAATACCACTCTCGCAACCGGCTGACTAGCATTCGTGAGTAAAACTTAACAGCTCTACGAACTTGCACATACCCACGATTGAGCGTGACGCCAAAGCTGGATAGCTCGAAGTAACCATCGTAGTAAGTCACTCAATACCGGCACCTTAAAGGCCGGTTCGCATATTTGCATTTGAGAGCGATCCCTTGCAACCGCCTTACGACGATAGGACACACTGGTGCCATCTATAATGCTTTATTTGCGAGGTGATCAAATTTTTGCACTATCGTGAGCAATTGTCTCTTATAATATCGTCAGAATCGTCTGAAGCACACGGTGAAAGAAATGGCGCATAATATATACGCAGATCGGAATTGATCCAGCGCAACTCGACAGATGGCGCCAGTGTTCTCTCGTCGTAAGCGGCGACGGGGTGTTACAGCGCAGACTGCCGCACTCCCCCCTTCACCTCCTTTCTCCTCGATAGCACCGACCAAGTCTCGAAACTCTCGCGAACCTTCTAGGGTCTCGCCCTCACTCGTCCCAGCCAGCGCCCTGAGAACTCGAGCCGTCGTTAGTTTCCCCTCGAATTTGAATTCGAGGGGAAACTCTGTTTGAATAACGCAAAGTTCGAATTACCGGCAGTTTCCTTCCTAGAAACTCAAAAGACGGGACCTGCATGTTAGTTTGAATTATCCGCCAGAATGAATTAAGAGAGTTTGAATTAACGGGATTCCACTGTACATCGTTCACAAAAGATAGTCTAGAGACACTGTCCGAGGCGTATTGTATGGCGTTCACATTGGTCGTGCAAAAACTGTATGCAGACATGTTGGAAGCAGACATATGTATGAGGTAAACTTGCCTCGAATATGCTTGGAGCGTTTGTGCAGATAATTTGTCACCCTGTCTGCGGTGTATATCGTGCGAGGAGCAGTACGGCTGGGGCTGCCCTCATCTTCACCACCGATCTGTCTGGACTTTCCATCGGGTTTCTATAAATGGCCGCGTTCGCCCTGCCACACTCTACTGCCCCATTCGCGCTCGTGACTTCCCTTGGCTGAAACTTTTCGTGCTCACCGGGTGATCCTAAATAGAGACACCTTTCGAAAGTCCCGTGCCGATTATTAGAAGGTCAGAACCACTGCACTATGGCGGAACAACTGACATCGTGAAACGCGTGCGGGTCATTCCATAGGGGATGGCGAACGTCGGAACGCGGCCGGCGCTAGTAGCCGACGAGCAAATCAAACAACGTCGAAAGTGCAACGTCACCGCTCTCGTCACCTTTTTCTGTGGGTGTGTTTCTGTCTTTCTAATCCAACCAAATGCGTAAAGCGTGCCGTCACTTTGCAGTCGTGGTCCGCCATTGTGCAGGGATACCACAGCTGCCAACAGAGGGCAGTCTTTCGAGAGGTGTCTGTAAGTGATCTCGAGTACGCAATTATTGTTATGCCTCGGTCTGCCGCGTAGCTGATTTTCGCAGCGTGCCGACATCCCGCGCCCTTTCATTGCATCTTTTTGGCACAATGCAATTGAGGCCTGGGAGTATACTGAACATGTTTACGGTACATTTGTTGCTACAAATCAACGCTATCCAGGATATTTTAAAATGAAAAAAAAAAAGGACATCGATCACTTCAGCGATCTTAAGTTGGCGGCAATGATGAGATAATCAGTATATATGTTTCATGTATGCAAGCACTGAGGCGTTAACAAACCTGACAAGACTCACGGCGATGTTGACGCTTAGAAGCACCCGCATTTCTCCAGTGAACAAAATGCATATCATCATGAAACAGAAAATCCAACTTATCTTGAATGCAGACTGCGGATTGCACAAACGTCAGCCCCTCACTTAATATCGTATCAGAACGGTTCCACACTACGCACAGAACTGTTCACAGTTAACGAACTCCCGACAGTTTAAAATCATTGGCACTGTAGAAAAGTATATGTATGATTAAATAGACACCATACCGAGAAAAATCTAACGTTCCCTTTCACGAGAAAAAAAAAGCATAAATGCACATTTTCTTGTACTCGAGTAAAAGATTGATTACACAACGTATGTTATCACAATCACATATATCGCCGTACTCGGACATATATGCAGAGTCACCTTTGCACCTAAACAGCTAGTCCTGAACACAACTTTTGTAAACTTCGTGAAAGCCTACTGACCCACTAAGACATAACACACATCTGATAAGGAAGGAGATATACATATGAAAAAAAAAACTTTTGTGAAAACAACCTGCAGCACAAACACAGGTCTCATCATTTTACCAAAAGGTCTCCAATTCTCTCGCAAGGCCGTTATTCACAGTATAAAGAGTGGCGTTTGTGATAACAGTTACATTATTCGCCGTACCATGACAGACATTACGCAGCTCTTCACTGCAGTATGATATGTACCGCGCCACAGTGTATCGTGCTCCATCATATCCACGGTACCAGGCAGCCTTATGACTTCTTGGATTGTGTTTCGGATTGTGCTCCTGCTTTCAACAAAGAGAACTGCCATCTCACTCGCTTTCAACGTTCTCGGGAGGCCAACCCTCTCAGAGTTCAACACCTTTGTAGCATCGTAGACCCGCGCTTCTCTCTTGCGGTCGTTCAGGCTATGGTATCCGGAATGGCAGTGTACCTCACTGACGGTGGGTCCCTCAGGAGCAGGGCCTCCTTGGGGAAGTGCACACAGTGCCGGATGCACCACACGACACCGACGATGGTGAAGATGGTGATGGACGTCCCGAAGAAGATGATGGAGCCGAAGATGCCGGAGTTCCTTTGGTGCCACTTGGCGTGCCCGGGATCCATACCCGGAAAGGCGGAATCGTTGATCTCGTCCTTGCTGATGCTGCTGGCTGTTGGCAATGCTTGGTTGGACGGGGAGGAGAGAATTGCACTGGTCGTTTGGCCCGTAGTGATTCGAGTCGGAGTTGTTACTGTCGTCGTGATGGCAAGCGGTGACGTTGCGGTTCTTGAGGTGGCATTTGCATGCGGCACTCTCGTCGCCGTGGTCGGTGTCTTTGTCTTCGGGGGAATGGACGTTGTCGGAGGCCGAATTGTCGAGGAGGTTTCAGCCTTCGAAGCGGTCACAAGCTTCACGCAATGAGCTGCTGCTGCAGAAAAGTTGCTGCTGCTGCAGTTCAGCTGTGAGAAGAGCAGACAGGGGATACTGCTCAGCTCTGTCCATGCGAGAATGGGGTGACCCGGTGTATTACTGTGATGAACTTTATTGTTGAGCCATACCCCTGAGGTAATGTTGAACGCCCAGAGTTGAGACTCGAAATTGAGTTCCCTCCATAGCCACAGCGTGCTGTTGTCCGCCCACGCGTAAGACTTGCTGAGGGAGGATGGATAGCCTGGACTTCCCTGCGACCATCGTAGCACGCTTGTCCAGTTCTGGTAGGAGGACGACCTCGAGGCCTTCCAGAGCACCGTGTCATTCTTTAAGGTGGTACCATTGTGGTACTTGTCCGTAACTATGTAAACGTGATCCCCTTGGTACCACGTGTGGGTGTGCGATTTCTTGGTCGGCATAACGGGCAACTTTGAAGCGTTACTTGCGTTCAGTTGTCCATCTTTGAGGAACCTCAGTATCGTACCGGTCTTCAAGCTGATGGAATGGACCTCGTCGTTGGTGCACCAGATCAGGAAAGAGCCCTGCGTCGAGTTCTTGTGATGACTGCTGGTGACGTTGTACCACTTGAAACCTTCGAGGGTATGTACAAGGGCGTGGCTGCCGTTGGAGAGCACTACGTAGAACGGGTTGGAACAGACCACTCGCCAGGAACTGTTTAGAGTCTCCGGTACCGTCGTGTGCTTCCACGTCCTCGAGCCATGTGGCAGCGACCACAGCGTTGTCGAACTCAGCAGGTGAGTGGTTCCTTCTGTAGACCTCCAGCCAGACATTGGAATGGCAAGGCACGGAACTACGGGTCCTGGCTCTGGTTTGGCTTTGACTGCAACATAAACCAGATAAAATTTATCAGTAACGATACAAGAACATAACAATTCATTGCTGAACGAAAACGGGGATAGTATGATTTCAAAGCACACAGTGCCTGTGAGTTCAGTTAGTAGAGCACTCCACTGAAAATGGAGAGATCCCTGGTTCGATATCAGGACCAGGCACATTCTTTCAGTCGCGCACTAGCCACCTAGCTCTGTTTGGAGATTTGTGCTTGTCCTTTGTCCCCCTTGTTTTCCTCTCCAGGGATTATTCTAGTGACAAAAGTTTAAAATTGTGATTTAGTATGTTCAATTCAACGAGAGCAAGAACATATGAACTGCTACCAATTGTTTTCGTCTTGCCTTATTTGACCAGACGGCCTGAACATCGAAGTTTCCTCCACTAAACTTCGATGTTACGGCCGAGAAGCATAGGTGAGAAGGTATACATTGCAAATTTGCACGGGCCCAATTGGACAGTACCACATTTAAAACATAATCACAAATATTTGATGTCCTTGATTTTGATAACATTGTGCTGCGGGCCGATGGTGTCAATAAATTAAAACAGCTGCTCAGACATCCTGGAGTTCGTGTTTGAACCGAAATGAGCGGTGGTGTGACGGCTGGATAAGTGAGGCCTTGTCTCTTTCAAAATGAAATGCAACTTATCGGACAATAAAAAAAAAAAAAAAGGTCGCCGTTTTTTTGTTTTTTTTTTTGCCTGTTTTGCAAATTAGTTGAGGCGACAGCCGATGCGCTTCGTGCTCTGCTGCACACTCCTTGCCACTGTCCGCAGCATCTCACACGTGGCACTGAAAAGAGCGAGAGGGTACCGGAGTTGCTCGCCGTCGCCTCCAAGGTAGCCTCTGTCGTCTGTTAGAACCGGTTGTACCTAGCGTTCCCGACATTCCTTTCGGCGCCGCGGACGGAGCTGCACGCCTTCCAAAAGGCCTATTAGAACCCAAGGTGCGGAAAAAAGATTCCTAAATAAATAAGCGTGGAATTCGTGTCGATATAGCTGTCACGTGACACTGGCGTCACATGGCCATGCAACACGTGGTGCGACATTACATGACACTAGGGAGTTTTCGTAGATCGTTTTCGCCGTCCCGCAAGGGCCCTCCGCAACCCGCTACGATAGCGGGAACTCCACAGTCAAGGCTATCGGCGCGCAGGCGCAGTAGCAACTTCTTCGTTGCGGAACGGTTAGCGGAGGGGGCAACGCGGTCTACGAAAACTCCCTACTAACATCACAAGGTCACGTAACACGTGATGTGACGTCACATTACATTATGACATGACATTGTCATGTAACACGTAATGTGACGCTACAATTTCTTCACGCTACACCGTGAAGTCCCACGGTCATGTAGAGCGTGATATGACGTTACCTGTCACTAACATCATAAGATCATGTAACACTTGATGTGACGGAGCATGGTCATGTAACACTGTGACGTCCCAATTTCCCAACGTGACACTCTGACGTCACATGTTCATGTAACACGTGGTGAAATGTCACAATTTACCCGCTAAACCTACGCAGGAAATGCTTTGCGTAACGGCACAGTATCACGTGACACTGCGATTATCCGCTAAATGTAGCGGGAAGCGTTTCCCGCTTAACTTGGCGGACCACACCGTACACGCACCGAGATCTGTGCTCCAAAACTTCGCCATGTTGGCTGTCAGCGTAAGAGCAAAGATGCGTAAACATCGCCTGCACCGTCTCAGTTGTCACATGCGGTTAGCGAGAGCGATGCGCCAACGACGGCCGACACCGTTATAATCGATATACCACACAGCAGCGATACAGCGGTAAGGGCCCGGGGGAGTCGAGCAGCCCAGTCGTGCGTGTCGTCTGATGAGTGCCGACGACTGCCGCTCCCAATCACAGTCGGTCGCAGATTACGGGCGCGGTTGCCGAGGGACTCTCTAGACGGGATCGCTGGCCGTTCCTAATGTCCCTGGCAGACTTGCACGTGACGCGCTACTTGTATATCTAGCTACTTTCTTTCGGTAACGAAGTGACTGCTTAGTTACTTCTCAAGAGAAGCAAGAACTAACGTATTTACGTTACTTTCTGGTATAACGGTACTCAGTTACCTATTGGGAGGGAGCGTGTACAACCATAGCCTCCTCTATTCTCACAAAGCCTGGCAGTTTGACGACGGAGACGTAGATTGCCCCGTCGCAGATCTGGAGAGCGAGGTACTGGTAGCACAGAGCATTTCTCAGGGAGTCTGGTATTCAGCGCCCAGCTTTTGAAGCAGCGAGGACCAGAAACATGCTTTTCAAACCCGACGAGAAAAGAAGCGGTAGCGCAAGGAACGCGAGGAGCACGAGCGGACATTCCATCGCTAGGGAGAAGTGCGTTTCGGCGTCTCGCCGCAGCGGGGCGCCCGTCACGTGGCTCTCCTCTCATTCGTTGCCTGCCGCTTTATCTTTTCAGTTTCGGCGGCCGCGTCTCGTAGTGATCTGCCAGGCTTTGTCAGTGTGGAGAAGGCTATGGTACAACACCATACATGTACCCAACCTAGTTCTTACCCCCGCCCGCTCCTGTGAGTTTCAAGGCGAAGAAACTAGATCAACAATAAAAGATATGTGCAGAAGGAACGTCACGACAGCCGCCACTGTTGTTCCTGATCGAGTGTTCGAAAAGCGAGAAATTATATGTATGACTAATATAAAAAAGCCTACTGCTTAAAGGGATACTACAATGAAATTTCGGCGCTCATTTTTTGGTCTATATGTGTTCAAAGGAGCAGCATCACATCGAACATACCAATATCTTGTTATAAACGTCACGAAAAGGAATTTTGAAACGAATTAAACGATTAGCAAAGAGCACCTGGTGGATGTCGCTAACGCCTCGCTTGTAATGCCCGTCTAAAAACCTTGACAGCTAGTGACGGAGGTTGTCTCGCCTACGGCTACGACGAGAGAAGAGGGAAAAGAGGAACTCCCCTCTTCCCGAGAATGCCTTTTGTGTGTCGCAGAAGTCGCTATTGTCCCCCTAGAAGATTATAGAAGATTAACCTGTCACTCAAAATTCGTACAAAAGCAGCCACTTCGGTGGCTGGAACGACTAGGCCATCCTCTCGACGTCAGCCTCGCCGTAGCTTTGCTCGTCCTGAGACGACCTACGTCACGATTGCGTTGGATGTCACGTGGTCTCCTGGGCCTTCTCCGAGCGCTTGCCAGAGTGGGCCGTTTATAACGAAAAATACAGCCACCAGGCTCAAAATACAAACGTGCGATTGTCATTTACAGATATTGTGGATCATATTCAACCTATTTTTGAACACGACGGGAATATTTCAAATTTCGTTGAAGTATCCCTTTAAACAAAACAAAAAAATTGACACATTTTGAGTAATAAGAAGTAAGGCGTTATTTTCGAGCTGGGGTAATGCGCCCATTTTAACTCTCAGTAACGAGTAATGAAGTTGGCTATTCTTTAAGCAAGTAACTAGTAACGATATTTAGTTATTTTATTTTAATAAGCTGTACATGTCATGGTCCCTGGTACAGGCTGAGCAGCGGTTCCACAAGTAGCGACAAACCCGCTCGCATGGAGAAGCTTATCTCGCGGGAAAAACGTGCCGCCCTCCAGTTAATTAGGGCACGACGTCACGACGACCGAGGCGCTGCAGTCGGTGCACGCGCTGATCGTTTTACGCGAATCTCGTTTCTGCGCAGCCGCAGTGCCCACAACTGGTGTGGGCAAATGCCGACCTGTTTGTAGGATGGATGGATGGATGTTAATGGCTATACCCTTTGTAACATGCGGTAGCTTGCGCCACCTAGCCGAAGTGCGTGACAGTGCAGGATAGTAAACCTGCGCTACCATGCGCGCCTCTCATTTAGGAACTTCGCTCTCGAACAGTTTCGACGGTAGTCCTTCAAAGCGGTTCGTTTAATCTTACGCTTACGAAAGCGGTGAAAACTGGCCATGTTGGTTGAGGGTTATTATAGGGCTTCCAGTTTTCTCTACTTGACGAATCGGAGCGCGCGGTGACCCTACAAGTATAAGCGGAAAGCAATAAAAAGGACGGGTGTTTCGTACGGTCGTCGTCCTTTCTGCTGCTTTCCTTTTGTTATTGTACCGGTCTTCTGCATTTACCGAGAAAAAAAAAAAAGCACAGATAAATAAATGCACCTAATATTTCGACGATAATGTGAAAAAAAAACAACATGGACACAAAAAATTCGACCGACCGTCTTTGTATTGTTATCCTATGGATGGCGCGTTTTCGGATAAATCCGAGGAACTCCGAAAAATACTCGCCGATAAAATTTTCGTTGATTCAGGTTTATCCGAAAAACTCAGAATTTCAGAATCCAAAAGTCAGAAAAGAAAACAGTATCTTAAAAATAATTTTTTTTTTATAACGCAGAATTATTGGTATTGAGTTTTCTTTCGAATATCAGATCATTGACAAAACTAGGTGAACTGCTTATCTCGTCAAGGTCCGATCAAGACAACGGGCCACTCTACTCCTGGGTCACGATAAAATTCGCCCTGTTCGGGACTTCGGGTTTCCAATATGAACCGTACTATTTTTGCTTCTTACGGGGAGCAGGGGTTGTGTTTTTATAACAGCAAAGGTTATGAACACTTAGATTTTAGAGGAAAACGGGGGGGGGGGGGGGGGGGGGGGTGACTGAAATTTCTATCGCCCTCGCTTCGCCACTTTCGTGCAACCGTGAGGTGGAGTGTTGGAATTATATCAGAAGAAAACTTCTCAGCCACTTCGTCTGCGAGTTTCTATATTTCAAAGTATCAACGTCCATTGAAGTTCCACGTGTTTGGAAGTTTTTGTCGTGGTACATCATGCTATAAGTTATAACCAATGCCGAGGACGCTAACCCCAAATTCAGCTGAAGAAATATAATTTGATACTAGAGAATTTTTACGAATTTAGGGCACAGCTTTTAAAGATTGTGAACAAAACAAAATTCAACTCAAAATAAAAAAAAAAAAAAATAAATAAAATCAGAAAAC